CCGGGTAGTGGGGGTTGGGGGTATTGGGGGTGTAGGGGTAGTGTCCGTTGTTCAGGGGTGGGTGTGAGGGCACTGAGGACAGTGAGGTGCAGTGGGGGTTGGGGGTCGTGGTGGGATTATGCAGGTCGGGGGGAGGGGGCCGGGTGGTGTGTTCGGGGTCAGATAGGGGTTTTTCGGTCCTTTAGGGGTGTTTGGGAGGGACGTCAATGGGGGGGTGATTTTTTTTTTTTTTTTTTCTGGTTTTAGTGTTCGGGCACGTAGGCACACGTGTCCAAGACCGAAAGCGGGAATTTCGTTTTTCGGAATTCAACGCCAAGCCCCCGTTTTTGTGTTAAACGGGATTTAACGGGGGTCCAGGGGCCCGTTAAACGGATGAACGGGCGTTGAATTTCGCCCGTTCTCCGTTCAAAAGATACATAGCCTGCGAGCGTGGAGAGATACTTTGGCAGGCGAGCAACTATTCTTCTGCCACTGTACGACCCAGAGCCCGACCCTCTCGCGCAGGATGAGATTGAGGAGGAGCCTTGGTCTGATCTTGATGACCTGGATGCGGAGTCGGGCCGGTCATCCGACGATGATGCCCCCCTGTCACAGATGCGACGCGAGATGCGAGGGTCGACCTCGGCCCGTCCTCGTCCTTCCCCTTGCCCGCGGGATGATGTCGCGCCTAGACCTGCAGTGGTTGGGAGGCCAGGTCGTGCAGATGCATAGTATCAGGGCCTGTCCATTCGACACGACAACACACTTCGACAGCAACGACGATGATGGAGGGTACGAGGGCAGCAGCGAGTCTGAGGACGACATGGATTTCAACAGAGGTGAGGGCGACGCCCCACGGAGAGGTGGTGAGGGTCCTGGAGACATTGCTGTCGAGGAGCAGCACGCTCAGCGACGTTCTGTCAAGTATGCGGAGGAGAGGGGTCGTGGAGGGGGGGGGTCAGCCAGGGGTGGAGGAGACGGAGGATCGGGGGGACAAATTCCACTTTCACCTCTAAGGGGGAGATCTGAGGCTGGCCGCGGCCTTCCGGCCACTGCAGGGAATTTAGCCGCGGTGACCGGCTCGTTGTCTGATATTTTTGGTATGTCGATGGGACCTCCGCCGACCGTCGGTGATGCTGGACAAGCCCCCGTTGCCACGGGCAAGACACCCATCAGCCAGGTTGTATGAGGATTGGATACTGACGGGGGTGTCTCGAGCAGTTTGTTGATGGAGGCGGCTCAGGGGATGGAGGGTACGGCCAGGCAGCCCATTCAGAGCACGGGGGATGCTGTCCTTTTTTCGCCCATGCAGGTTACGATGTGGAGACGGATGCGGACAGAAGGGACTGAGAGGAGAGACAACGAGCGCTAGCGCTTGCTCAGTCCTGCCCTGTGACACAGGACATCAGAGCAAGTTTGGATGCTGCTCGCGCCCTTGAGACAGGCGTTGCACTCGTCGCCGAGACAGATGTTCCTGATAGCTGCGGCACGGGGGTTCAGACGCATGGTGTCAAGGAGGTTGAGGAGGGGGACGCCTCCCGACCCGCGCAGGGTGATGGCGGTGTTTGCAGACCGGGACTTCGACCGATTAGTGGAGAGGATGACGATGCGGAGGGAGGTGGTGGTGGGCCTGTCGGTGGAGGGGGTGGACCTCACGGAGGATCTGAGGCAGTCGGTGTGCATGATGGATGCGAGCAGGAAAGACAGCCCGCCGGTGGAGGGGAGCAGACGGATGAAGGACGAGGTAGTGCGTCTGCTGCAGAAATGCAGCAACGTGCAGTTGACGGACCTGGCGAGCAGGCAGTCGATTCAGTGGTCGCCGACCACCCTGACGCGCTTGCGGAGGGTATTTGTGTGTTGCCTTTAGGTGGCGCCATGTCCGCTGCAGTTTTGGGGTGCGAAGGTAGAGAGGATCCTCTTACAGCTGATCTGCGGGGGCGGATGGAGGATGCCAGCCGGAGAGCTTTGGGAGACCCCCCACCATATGCGCCATGTAGCTCGTCAGTGCCCTCCTCCATGACAGGCATCACCCCTCACTCTTGGGATCCTATGGAGCAGATGGAGAGCATCAGGGCCGCATGCGCGGCAAATACGAGGTCGTGGGATAGTGGTCGTGCCGGATCTGAGAGTCGTTCGTCTGTAGGAGGGACACAGCAGGCGGAGGGTAGAGGCTTAGACAGTCTTTCTCCGTAGTCGCGGATGAAGACTCGGCCTCATGGTTTAGGCTCTGTGAGGAAGGTCACTCAAGTGATGCAAGACATGCAGCCAGGATTAGCTGCCATACCTGCATCTATGAGACCTCCACCGTTGCCGCGAGGGGGAGACATTGAGGTGGATGCAGCAGGTTGGGGTCGGGGCCGGAGTGGCGGATCGCGTTTGGACAATACTGGGGCCGACCCTTCGACACAGCGCATTGCTCACGTGATTGGTGCATCGACACAGTGGACGGAGACCGCCACAGCGGGGGCACGTGCGCTGACCACTTCGACGGCGGACGATCCGCCTCCGACCCGTCCGCCGGATAGAGGAACGGCGGGCCGCATCTTAGAGGAGGATGTTAGGGACAGGAGACCACGCGCTCCTTCTTTAGCAGCTGGCCCGTATTCCTCAGGGACTGACGGTTTGGAGATGCCTCGGGGACACCGGAGGAGGCAGGATGTTCATGGGATTCTGCTCAGAGACATGGCGACGGAGGTGGAGGAGAGAAAGAGACAGAGAGTTGTGCGGGCACAGGAGGCCGCTCGCACAGGGGAGCAGCACCAAGCTAGGCGTGTGGGTGATAGAGTTGTTGGTGGCCGGACGAGGACGAGGGTGGATGTCGTTGACGACGACGATTAGTTGTTTGTGTACTCTCGACTTTCTTTTGGTCTGCATATTAGATGTGGCGAGTTCTCTTTCTTTTAATTAGGACTTCTCATTTTCAGTTAGGTGCAATAGTTTGCGTAGATATCGAGCTTAGCCTACAGGTAGGAAGGATTTACTATAGTGTTTTGTTGATAGTTTGTAGATAATAGACATGTCTTCACACATGTTGTTCAAGTCATAGGATTTGGTTTACGTTTTGGTGACACAGGCCATAAACATTAGACAACACATGACGAGAGAGAGAGAGAGAGAGAGAGAGAGAGAGAGAGAGAGAGAGAGAGAGAGA